CCTACCCGCATCTATCTGCTGCCATTTGACATCCCTGACCACCTCCCCCCCCCCCCCCCCCCAACAACTCCTGTCCCAACAGCAGAAAATGTGGGTAAGGGGAAGGTAAGCAAACACTAAAAAGTCCCAATCTAAAGACGCTCTTTTATTAATTAGGTGGTGGTGCTGTCCTCAACTGGCATCACTTCTCTCCAACTTGCACAGCAACAGCCTCTGGGGAACATAGGTATGAATGGCTTTGATTATTTTCAGACCCATTTATAATATATGAATGGGTTTGAAGGCACACAAAGCCATTCATAAGAATATTGAAAGCTGAAGTGAAGACAATGGTGACAATCATTGTACTCACTTGAGAGATCAGAACTATCAATGGATGTGCTTACAAGCACATAGTCATTCACAAATATGGAAATGGGACTCCAGTTGAAGAAGATGATCAGGCTCACACATCATGGGTGGTGCAGTTTGGCATCTTTGCCCTGGGCACTGAGTACCTTGTCCTGGCACAGCTAAAGATCATATTAAACTGCTAAAAAGGCAAATTTAGTTGAGCTTTATTTTAGTACAATTGCAATGCTGCTTGTAGCATTATTTATTTATTTATTTAATTATTATTTTTAATATATTTTGTTGCTTGATGTCTCTTCTCCATCTATTGGCTTGTTTCTGGCAAGAAAACAGAGGGAGTCCACACAAAACAGAGGAAGGATTTCTGTGTCTACAGTACCATTAGTGGTCTTGAACCCAACACCCCGCTACCAATAGGCCACTGTTGTAAATGCCAATCCACCACCACACCGCTCGCAAAAAAAATTGCAAATCCAGACTGTGGACAGCATAGATATTAGGGGAAATTCTTATCCTTTCTCCAGCCTCTGATTCCAGACATAATCCCTGTAATATTTACAGATTATCCCTTGTGCTTAACAAAATGAGATTAGGGATTTAGAAGCTCATTTATGATGAATGACGAGCCCTGTCATAGTCCTTGTGCTTGATGGAGGATAGAGAATATATTTGCTGGTATTTAATATTGGCAGAAACTGAAACTGAAAGCTGGATCAATACATAAACAGATAAGTGATAGTGAAAGGGAATCTGTAATAAACCTATATTGGGCATTTGGGAATACTGCACCTCATTACAAAAAAGATCAACAAAAGGGGTTCTCAGATAATCAGAATGCTGACAGAAGGGAGTGGGGTGTATTACATGATACCCCTGGAATAAAAGTGAAGGCACTGAGCAGGTAGACTTTGTTCCCCACTCCATCTTTACTGTGGTTTACTCATGGGCTTTTTAAATGTAGTTCAAAATGGTGCGTACCCACAACAAATGAAGACCGCAAAAAACTAAACCCAAAACCCCAGTGCTAATCACAGCATTGTCAGTGGCACTGAAATACAATACAGTGATTGTATAGATAATTAATTATACAGTTTGTACCTGGCATTGAGATGCTCACCATAAATTGCTGCTATACTTATAGCTACAGTCATGGAAAAAATACTGGCACCCCTACTTTCTGTCAGATAATGCACCACTTTGCCCAGAAAATGGTTGCAATTACAAATGTTTTGGCATTCTCATGTTTATTTCTTTTGTTTGTATTGGTATGACACAGACAAGTGGAGAAACAAAAAAAAAAATCTGACACATTCCACGCCAAACTCCAAAAATGGACTGGACAAAATTATTGGCACCTTCTCAAAATTGTAAGAAATTATTGCATTCCAAATTTGTGATGCTCTGTAATTTGTATTTAAACTCACCTGTATCACTTATCAGATCTTAATGTGTCCACTGTGCCCAACATTGTCAAGAAATTTACAGCCCATGGCACTGTAGCTAATCTCCCTGGATGTGGATGAAAGAGAAAACTCAAATATTGCAACAAAGGACTGTTTGGTGGATAAAGAGCCTTGATCAACTTCCAGACAAATTCAAGATGACCTTCAGGCACAGGGTACAACTGTGTCAGCTCGCACTATAGGCGGCCATCTGAATGAAAAGGTACGCTATGATGGGAGACCCAGGAGGACCCCACTGCTGACACAGAAACATAAAAAAGCCAGATTGGAGTTTGCCAAAACTCACATGAGGAAGGAAAAATCCTTTTGGGAGAATGTGCTGTGGACAGACGAAACAAAATTACAGCTTTTTGGTAAAGCCCATCATTCTACTGTTTTCAGAAAAAGCAAGGAAGCCTTTAAAGAAAAGAATAGAGTCCCTACAGTCAAACATGGCGGAGGTTCATGGATGTTTTGGGGTTGCTTTGCTGCTTCAGGCATTGGATGTCTTGACAGTGTGCATGGCATTATGAATTCTGAGGAATACCAAACAGATCTGGGGTGCAATGCAAGGCCCAGTGTCAGAAAGTTGGGCCTCCATCAGAGGTCATGGGTCTTACAGCAGGACAATGACCCAAAGCACACACCAAAAAGCACCCAGAAATGGTTTCAGACAGAGCTCTAGAGAATACTGAACTGGCCAGCAATGAGTCCAGATCTCAGTCCCATAGAGCACCTATGGAGAGATCTCCAAACAGCAGTTGGGTAAAGGAGCCCTTCCAATCTGAGAGACCTGGAGTAGTTGGCGAAAGTAGAGTGGTCCACAACCCCAGTAGAGAGGTGTAAGAAACTAATTGATGGTTACAGGAAATGATTTATTTCAGTTATTTTTTCCAAGGGGTGTGCTACCAAATATTAAATTGAGGGTGCCAATCATTTCGGGGTTTGCGTGCAATGTGTCAGGTTTGGCTTTTTGTTTCTCCACTTTTTTGTGTCATACCAACACAAACAAAAGAAATAAACATGAGAATGCTGAAACATTTGAAATTTCAAACAATTGTCTGGGCGAAGTGGTTCATTATCTGACAGAAAAGCAGGGGTGCCAATATTTTTAGCAATGACTGTAAATATAATCTGTATGGGGTAGCGATTAGAGATCTCTCCAAATGATGTAGCCAGGCGCCATGATGTGGGTTGACGCCAGGAGGCCTAACCCTTCTGGGCTATGCCAGGCACCTAGTCTAGTGTTTCCTCCCTTGCACATGAAGTACCTTTTAATTGTGCCGTATCCATCAATGCCCCAGGAAAAGGATGAGGCTGCTTTCAGGGAAAACATGACCTTAAGACAGGTCTCTAACTTTAGAGATGGCTGTACATCATGTACACTTGAACAATAACTGTACTCCAGTTAGCTCTCTTGTTCCTGTGTCAATGTACACCTTTCTATAGACTGTTGCATTTAGGAGGGACATGCTGAGCCTATGCCCACTCCACCGTATCTGCGATACCTAACAAGCAGTAACAGAATGGAATCCTGCCCTGCACCTAGCATGGACTCCATAGGTGCACTCAATTAACTATGCAAAGGCTGAGGACCCCTGAGGTGAATATCAGCTCCCATTGCTATGGGGGACAGAGTGCTCACAGAGAAAGCACCAACAAAATCTCTTTCACTGCAAGAGGCTGTTTCACCTATCACTTCGCTGTTTTCATACCCCAATGTGACCCATGCTTTAGACTATGTGTGGTGCTGGTTACTTGCATTACACCACTTTTAGTAACTTCAGACCAGGCAAAGGACAAAAAGCTTTACTAAGAAGTTCCGAACATACCAAGTCCAAAACAAGTGCACTCTTCCCTATCATCCCTAACTCTTATTGGCTGCCCCGGCATACCTGCACAGGCAGAAGTCCATACTTTGCAGAATCCAAGCATGGCATCTTCAGGGCTTCCTACGAGTCCCAGTAGTCCCCATAGTGGAAGGCTCCTGATGCCAGGTGATCTTGAGAAAGTACTCCGGCATCCGCATAGCAGGGAAACTCAGTGGTGGCAATGGCAGACAGAGCGCCTCTCTGAACTCCGGAACACTGTCCACTCATATTGACACAGGTCAGACCCAAAAAAATCCACCAAGACAAAGCTTGGGAAACACAGTTAACCCTAACACTCCTGTCCAGGGAAGTATCTGAATGAACTACATGTAGGGAACCTGCCTACAAATCTCAAACACAAATTAAAATGTATGTAAACCTGATCACTAAAATCGCAAATAAGATTTAACATTGTAGCATTTGTAAAGACATTTTGTAGCTATACTCTATATTTATTGAGTTTATCAATGTTCAAAACATGTTCAAATAAGACATTCAATACAGAATATATATATATATATATATATAAATATATATATATATATTTTTTTATTTTTTTATTTTTTTTTTCTTCCTCCTAACAATTTCTTCCTAAAAAATACATTAAAAATAAATGCCAAGAACTGATTGGCTTGGTCGATGTTTTTTTTATGTAATAGACTTGCTATATATGGATTAAACACAAAACAAGCCCAGAATGCACATTTGTACTCACAGTAAGCTTTCTATATGTCATGCCATTTCATATTGTCTCTTTCTGCTCAGTCATGTTGAAACAAAGACAGGAAAGGAGGCAAAGATGAAGGAGGAAGAAAAGAAAAAGGATGAAAAACAAAGAAGGAAGGAACAAAAGTGTGAGTATTTGAAGTGAGAGTTAACTGAAAAAGTGAAGTTTTTCTACATCTAGAAATGTTAACTGAGACCAAGTAGGACCCTTAAAAGTTTACCTTTTGTCTTGAATTTATCTTAAAAAATAGCAGTGCACTTCCTGTGCCTGAGTACGTCTTTACATAGTTGTATATCGTTGTATATTTGTGATATAGCATCAAAGGCACTGCTACCTATGACTGATGGTCTTATGAGATTTGGTGATGTTACTACTGTGCTGCTCCCTATTCTCCTTGCTGGAGAGGAAGCTGTGTCTGAGGTCCTGCAGTGCACGGATGTCCCTGCTTCTGCTTCCTTCCTTCTGTGGATCTGTGATTTTCCAACCTCTCCTGCTGCTTCTTGGATATTACCCCACCAGTCAGCTATCGGGGTGTAGCTCTGACAAGAGGAATCAAAGTCGCCGCCACACAGAGACATAGTGCAGAACAAGGCATGTCAATGGAAAAAAAAAGAATCAGCTGCAGGGAGCCTACAGGCAATACTAGCGAGAAGTCCTGTTTCTGCAGTTTTCACAGTTTGTTTCTTTTTAGCAAAGTTGGGGTCGTCTTATGGTGGCTGAAGGTAAATTGCAATATCGCACATTTTTATCAAAGAGGTGTATATATACCAGGGGCAGACTGACCATTTGGAAACTTGGGCACTGCCCGAGGGCCCGGGGTCAGTAGGGGGCCCCATGAGATGCCCCTGGTACCTTTTTCATAGGTTTTTTTGAGTTTGGGCAAGGACACAGGGGCCCCATGATCCCCTTTTGCCCGGGGGCCCCATGAGTTGTCAGTCCGCCCCTCATATATACAGTATATTAAATATATTATTTTTTAACAAAACTATGTATTTGTGTCCATTTCATTTTAGTACTTATTCATGCCCTTCCCTGTCTGTCCGTTTCTGGCTGGGTGACCTTAGCATTCCTGGCTTAGATTTGAGAATTCCTGTTATTTACAAAAGATAAGAATTACCTCAGAAACTCAGACTTAGTCTCTATAAACTGAGTATTTGTTCAACGCTCCTGTGACCATCTGCTGCCCAGACTACAGCAGCCCCCCTGTAGATTTCTTACTTTTATACTTAGAAAGAAAAGCTTTATTTACAAAGAGGCTTCTGCTAAGGGCTGAGACTGAGGAGTTCCTCCAAAGACTTGATTCCCTCGCATGAGCAGCACATGTCTGAAATAGAGTCAACTGGTGATGGAAAAAACGATATTAATACAAAGACTTGTGTTGCAAGGTTAGGCACCATAAGGTGCAAATATATCACAGAGCTTTGAACGTAGGGCTCCAGCAGGACTACAGGGCCATAAGGGAGTAGGGGAGCGGTAAGTGTTTGGGGCAAGTTTCCTTTAGCATGAATGCCTGACTCTAACCCTCAAGTGAACTATTCAAGAGTATCACTTTAATAAAGACCCCACCAGCTTCTCTTGACTTGTCAGACCCTCATCTTGCTGGCAACCCTCAAACCATATATACAACCACATTGGTCACCTTGGTGGAAGACAATCAGTCCAAATTGTTGCAACACTCCCATATGGAAGAAAAATATATTTGAAATATATTTTGAAAAATATTCTTCCCAGATATATTGGCATATATCTGAAATGCTACAATTCTGGCCATATTCAATATCAATATATATATATATATATATATATATATATATATACATATATATATACATATATATACATATATATACATATACATATATACATGTATATATATATATACATATACACACATATATATATATATACATATATATATATATACATATATATATACATACATACATATTATATATACACACATATATATATTATATATATTATATATATATATATATATATATATACATGCATATATACATACATACATATATTTATACATACATATTATATACATACATATATACATATATATATATACATATATATACATATATACATAAATATATATGTGTGTTTTTATTACAAAATAGCAGCACAGTGGCTAAGTGGTTAGCACTTCTGCCTGGCTATACTAGGGTGGCCGGTTCGAATCCCAACCACAGCACCAACTGCCTGGAGTTTGCATGTTCTCCTTGTGCCTGTGTGGGTTTCCTCCCACACTCCAACGACATGTTGGTAGGTTAATTGGCTCCTGTCTAAATTGTCCCTAGTATGTGTATGTATGAATGTGAGTTAAGGACCTTAGATTGTACACCCCTTGAGGGTTAGGGACTGATGTGAATGTACATATATGTGTAAAGTGCTGCATAATTTGATGGTGCTATTTAAGTACCTGGAATAAATAAAATATGAAATATATTTTTTTAAAAATACATTTCAAATATACTGTATGTCTTTAAAAATACAAATCTACATTTTTGGAATGCATTTAAAAATATATGTAAAAATATATGTTAAAATTACTTTTTTATATGTTAAAAAAAATCTGAAGAATATATTCTGCAAAACAGATCATACACATATATGTAATAGCATCCAAAAAACACAAACACGCCCCGATTACATTTATTATGTTATATTATAACTGCATGCATGCAATACTATTGACAGCACAGTGGCTAAATGGTTAGCACTTCCACCTGGCAGTACTAGGGTCTATTAGTTCAAATCCCAGCCATGATACCACCTGCTTGGAGTTTGCATGTTCTCCCTGTGCCTGCATGGGTTTCCTCTGGGTTGTCCAGTTTCTTCCCACACTCCAAAGACATGCTGGTAGGTGAATTGGCTCCTGTCTAAATTGTCCCTAGTATGTGTATGTATGAATGTGAGTTAGGGACCTTGGATTGTACACCCCTTGAGGTTAGGGACTGATATGAATGTACTATTATGTAAAGCACTGTGTAAGGGCTAGTTCACACTGGATGCAGCTTGGCATGCGATTTGCATGCCAAGTCGCACCCTATTGTCCACTATCAGAGCGGTCATATTGGTGCAGTTCTGACTTGGTCGGAGCCGCACCGATTTCAAAAGTAGTACATGTACTACTTTTGTTGCGATTTGCATAGACATCTGTGTCAGATGTCTTGTAAATCACAAGGAAATCGGCATCTCACCTGATTTTGAAATCGTGCGACTTCACTTCAATATGTATTTATTTATTACAGGTGCTTATACAATTAAGGCTCCGTTCACATCAAATCCGATTTTGAAATCGTGCGACTTCACTGTCAAGTCGCACAATTTCAAAATTGGACTGGATGTGAACGGAGCCTTAATTGACGGCACTATATAAGTACCTGTAATAAATAAATATTAAAGTGCCAAAGTGGGATAATATCAGTACAAGAAAAGAAAAAAAAGAGAGAGTATCAAGAGACACAGTCAGCGTAAAACTCTCCACTGTTGAATCTTCAATTTAAGTACGTGCCGCTTCACTCCAGCTCCTGTTGGGATGTGACACCCTTATGACTTACCTTTCCTGTCCATACCCCACATTATGATAAGGGGGCAGGAAGAACTACCCAATTATGTGACCATTGTAATTGGCTAGCACGGTGGCCACATGATCATTATCTTTATGCTGGTAGCATTAGTACATAGATGGGAAAGCATATCGGAACGGATCAAATTCAAAATCCTAACACTGACGTACAAAGCTGTCCACCATACTGCCCCGTACTACATCACTGACCTAATATCCAAGTACCGCCCAACACGCACACTCCGCTCCTCACAAGACCTCCTTCTCTCTAGTTCCCTGGTCTCCTCCTCCCATGCCCACCTCCAGGACTTCTCCAGGGTGTCACCCATCCTCTGGAACTCCCTGCCCCAACCCATCAGATTATCACCTACTCTCCTCTCCTTTAGGCGCACCCTGAAAACCCACCTCTTCAGGGAAGCCTACCCCACCCCCTGCTAACTTGCTGACCTCCTCCACTCTTCCTACCACTCCATCCCCCACAGCTATCTCCTCCTGTGCCACCATCCCCTCCCTCCTAGATTGTAAGCTCGAAAGAGCAGGGCCCTCAATCCCCTCATGTTTTGCATTGTATTGGTATTGTTCTGTCACATGTTCTGTCCCCCTTTGTAATGTACAGCGCTGAGCGAACCATTGGCACTTTATAAATACTGTATAATAATAATAATAATATTTACTTGTTTTAAACTTTTTTTTAATTTCTTCAGTTACTTCCTGGTTTCCATGTCTAGGCAAATTATGTCATACATCCCAAGAGTCTGCTCCTGACTGCATGCCTGAACTAAGGGCAGATGGATTCCAGGAAGTAAATGCTAACGGGATCATCTGCCCTTACTCAAGATGGCCCCCGCTGAAAATGATTGGGGGTGTTTTTCGAAATATCTCAACAAAAAAAAGCATGGAGACATGGATGGATTTCCTTTGAGTAATAAAAATGAGTTAAATAGCGTTTTTGGTCTGTGGTGCTCAGATACAGTGTAGTTCCACTTTAAACATGAAGAAGCGTAGTTGTGGAAATGGAGCAAATTTAGGAAAAATACATGGTGTTTTTCTTCGTTTAGGTGCAGCAATGACCTTTAAAGCTCATGCTTCTCCTGTGTTCTGGCAAAGGTCCACAGCTATCCAGTTTCGGATAGTGAAGCATTGATAGAAGCTTGTTATAGCTGATGACCTGTCGGAAGGTAATTACTTTGTCTTCCCATTTGTCAGCTACATCTGCTGAGCATGTGTGGGTTATCCAAAATCCTAGGAAAGGCAAACAACAAAGAACTCATTGAAAGGTAGCAGACAGTTGGAATTTTCACCCTGCCGAGTTTATGTTGGCAGACTGAAGGAGTACTATAAGTTATCATATCCACACCTAAAGAGTAGCAGGGTTGAGCATGGGATGTAAGTGGGTGAGGAGAATTCAAAATGTCACTTGTGCTGTTGCAACTAATGCAACTAAAGGGGAAAACGTGATATTTATAGGAACTATTACCCTATCCCATGCAAAATCTTGCTATTGTACACTCACCTAACATAGTAATAGAGTGACAATGCACCACCTGGCCCTTTAAAAGTTCATACCACTGTAGGCATGAATCTCCCAAACAGGGACTCAGAGATACAACCATACTGCTCATTCCTTGACAGGCTGCTCATACTACAATGTGTGTACAATGTGAAGAAGTTATCCTTCAACAGCCTGTTCCAGGTGAGCCAATCTATGATATCCACTGAGAAGGAACCCAAAAAAAACCTGCTCAAGTTTGTGAGACAAAAGCATCTCTGCCATCAGAGGTTAAATGGTGAATGCCTCCTTCTCTTTTACCAAGACACATAGGAGAAGCCCAGGATCCCTGTCCATGGTAACCCAAATCAGATCCATGTTTCTGCTGTGGAGCTCTCTGAACCACCATCTACTGATGTATACGAAGTCAGAGATGGGTCACCTTGTATCCCAGAAATGGAACCAAGAATCAACCCATTAGGTGCTCCCAAAGACCGAACTTTAGGGTCCCTCTGTACATTTTGCATGGATGAATTTGAATGGTCTGCAAACTTGCTAGGGACAGAACAGTACATTCAAGTGGGTTGAAATTTAGCGGAGAGCTCATTAATTGTGATGCTCAGATGCAGGCGTAGGCCACATTAACTCAATATCCCAGAAGTCACTGAATTCTTGCACAGAGCAAGGGAAAATAATTTCCTCTTCATCCCTCCCTTAGTATCATGGCCTGGATCTGAACCTGCAACCTCTGCGTCTGGCAGTATCTTTTCTTGCTGAGCCATTTGAGATGCTGGATAGATCCCTAGATAATTCCTTGGACAATCTTGTCATGCACCTTGTTTCTGGT